TATCTTAGTATAGAGTCCTACATCTTTTGATTTTTGTAATACTTGGCAAATATGAAGTTCATGTTCTTTTGAGTTTTTAGAATAGATTAAAATTTCGTCTAGATAATAGACAACAAAATCTTCTAAAAACTCTCGAAAGACATTATTCATTAGATGTTGGAATATTGCTGGTGTATTTATAAGTCCTAAAGGCATGATGTTGTATTTGAAATATCTATACCTTATTCGAAACGTAGTCTTTCATTCATCTCCTTTTTTGATGCGTACTAGATTGTATGTTCCTTGTAGATCTATTTTTGTATAGATTTTAGCTTGATTCAACTGATCAAGGAGTCCAAATATCAAAGGTAGCGAGTACATGTTCTTGATGGTGATTTTGATGAGTCCTTGATAATTGATACACATCTGCAATGATCTATCTTTTTTCTTCACAAATAAAATTGAAGCTCCTACTGGAGATTTGGAATGGCGTATGAAGTTCTTGGCCAAATTCTCTTCAATATATTCCTTGAGTTCAACCAACTCTTTTTGTGATAAACTATAGATTGGTCCAAATGGTGGTTGTGCTTTTTCTTGAAGGTCAATAGAGCAGTCATAGGAATGATGTTTTGGAAGAGTATCTGTATTCTTCTTTTCAAATACATCTTGAAAATCTTGATATTGGCTTAAAATGCCACTTGAAGTTTTTCCACCAGTAGAAATAAGTGTCACATAAATGACACAAGGTGATCTTTCTTTTACAACATGCAAGAAAGATCTTGCATCTACAAATACAGGTTTAATTGTACTAGAATTATGACTTTCTATTTGATTAATTATGCTCTTAGTTATACTTTCAAAAAAGTCAAGGCTATGAGAAGTCCAATCTATTTTAGGATTATATTTTTTTAGCCATGATAAATCTAAAATAACTGGATTAGAGGGAGATCTAATGATATTAAATATTACAAAGCTACTATGACCATTAGTTGCTACTTCTATAGGAAAAGATTCATGAGTAACATCTTCTAAAGACAACGGACGACCATCTATGACTTTTACATGAACGGGTTTAGTTTTCTTCACTAAAAATATGCTATGTCTTTTAGCAAAATTTTCATCTCAGAAACATGCTGAGGCTCTTGAATCTAGCAAGGCAGAGGCTTTGAGATGTTTAGGTCCTAGAATAACATTTATCGTAAAACATGGAGAGGGTTTTGAGGAGAGGATAGGACCTTCACTAGGCATTGTACAAGGTTCTACCTGCACAGTCCCTATTGTAGCTGAACAAATTTATTTTTCGACATGCTATCTCCTTTGATCGCCGTATTCTTCATTTTATGGTTGCATATCTTCTTAGGGCAATGTTGAGCAGTGTGTTTAGGTTCTCTATAATATTAGCACAATCCTTCCTAACGACAAAAAGTCTTTTTTTATTCAGTAAGAGGTTTGAAACGTAGTGCATCAATTTGCATGTCCTCTACTTCTGAATGTATGTGTTGAAGAGATGTTGGTGTTGCTATTGAATTATAGTAACATTGAGATCCATTTGTACGGTTCTTAGACCGGAATTCAAAAAGTCGATTGCCGCACTTCACAACAAAGTCAATTGCTTGACTCAATATTTGATGATCAGATAAGTTGAGCATTAATTTTTTTACATCATATTTTAATCCATAGAAAATTTGGCTAATAAGTGCGGCATCATCCCACTTGATATCAATTGCAAGTTGTCAAAATTAAGAAGCATCCAACATTACTGATCGATTGTCTTATCGTAAAATATTGATCTTATTGGTTGTAACACAAATTACATCATGTTCTCCATACATGGATCGAAACTCCACCAAAAAAGCCTTTAGATTATCCAATATTGGATCTTGTCGTTCAAGAAAAGACAAAAATCATGATAATGTTGAACCTAAAAGAAGCATACCAATGAATCTAACTTGAGATCTTGAAGTTGGATAGCTTTGGGATTGAAGTTCAATCACAAGTTGTTCTTGATTGATAAATCCTCTAAACTTTGATTTGATGCCATCAAACTTCTCGGGTAGAGCAATTCTTGATTCTTTAATATTGGAAGGGCGTTCTAACATAGGAAAAGGGACATGATTTGGTGCAGATGTTGAAGCAGTTCCAATCATTTCTATATCTTCACTTCTTGCCAATCTTGTTGCTCTTTGTGGTAGTAAATTGAGTTGATGCATCGCAAGCATTACCTCTCTCAATTGCTCTTGCATTTATGTCATTGTACTCTTCATTTCAACAAGTTTTGCGATGATAATACTTAGAAAAGAAAAGCTGTCTAATATTGCTCAAGACAAATAGAAGAGAGGACTTAAGAACAAAGAAAATACTAAAGACGATATCAGTTTAGAAGAGGGTAATCTGCAACTTCTAATACGCTTATGTCTTATCAAGAGAAAGGAGTAATCCATTCTTAATCAAGATTAGACAAAGCTCTGATATTGTAAGTATACTCTTATCAATCTATCAAGGACAAGAACATGATAAAGACAAATAAACAAGTAGAACTTCTCTCAAAGAAAGATGACAAAATAGAAATAACTTAATATGTATATTAAAGAAGAAACTGGAATGGCTATTGCCAAAAGTTAAGAAAACTAGAGACCCTTGAAACTAGACTAGAAGCAAGAAAGGAATTGACAAAAGTGAAGAAGGCTTCACTCTTATCTCTATATATATTATCTTATTAGGGGCTACATGGCGATGTTCTATAGGACCTCCAATATGTGTTGACTTTGTAGGACACATGCTTTGACTTACAAGGCAAGTTTTTCTATGTGTTGGCTACATAGTTAGCTTAGTCTTCAAGTTAACAACATGTGTGGCACATGGCCAAGTTGTTGACCACGTTTCTAATCCCAAAAAGTCAATTAAAGACACCTATAAAGTCAAAGCAGCGTCTATGAAGCTTCTATGAAGCTTTCATACCAAATACCATAGAATTAATTTACTTTACCTACTTTTATTTACTTTTACCTATTTATACATGTAATTACTAGCTTACATGGGTATGTCTGTGACAAATACTTATGTTTTATTGAAGTTTTCTTTGTTTGTTTATTTTGTAGCAATTTATAATATTTTCTTTCAAATAGGTTACTTTGTAATTTGTTTCTTAATATATAACAAAAGTATCATAAATTTGTTTGGAAATAAGAGAATGTTGCTAACTTCTATGTTAAAAAGCTTTATTATACCAACTTAACAGACATTGTTCCTATATTATCTAAAGTGGTAAATTACCATTATAAGTTGGAAATGTACTAGTATTCAATCATTAATATAGAACTTCTGAATAAATTAAAGATAATTATATATATTATTATTATTTTTATAGAAATACTATAAAAAAAATTAAAAGAATTCTTAACTATTTTATTTTTTAACCATGGATCAAGAATATATATATATATATATATATATATATATAAGTAAAAATAAAAAGTAACTAAAAGACAAGAAAATAAAAAATAAAAATTGATAAATTTAATATAATTATTATTTATATTATTAATATAAAATACATTATAAAAAAAGAGTGGTTATTATGTGTATTCTTTATATGAAAAAATATTCTAACATTGACATCAATAAATTTAAATGGATCAATTATAGTAATATTATCATCTAAGAAATAAGAGTTTTTTAAATGTAATTTTTTTCTATTCAATTCTTGATGCCAACTTATTGTAGTAGTATATTATTGCATAATCTTTTTTTTTGCACATGTAATATGTTATTATATTCAAGTTCAATGTCTATGCAATAAACACAATTGTTTTTTTATCAATTGTATCACAAATGCATCTTAATTTTACTTTGGTAATGTCAATTGATAAAATCTCAAGTATATATTAAACAATTGTGTCATACATACCCTTGCATCAACAATGCCTCATGTTAAGCAATTTAATTTCACCAAAGTAGATAGTACATACCAAACAATATTACAATGCATTACTTAAGGTCTTCATAATATTTTTGGTTTTTCACTAATAAAAGTAAGTTTGGAACACTCAAACACAACCTGAAGACACTTCCAGAAATGTCAAAAATATCTTCCATATTGTATGCCTTTTATGTCCACAAATGTTTGTTTGTAGATAATGGATTTTTTTCAATTATACACTAATTGTGAAGACAATGTTCTAAAACAATTAAATAACGTCTTCAAAGTAGACAAACCCCTTAAATGACAGAAGGCATGAAAACATATAATATATATATATATATATATATATACATAAAAAAATGTATATATATATATATATATACATATATATATATATACCTAAAAAAATGGGTTGAGGTATTTAAAATGGGGTTTTGATAAGTCCCCCACTTTCCTAAGTTTACACTTACCATAGTCGACCCTTGGCGTTATCCCAGCTAATCAAATTCTGCACAACTTGGGATAAGCTCATTGTTTGGATGCCGTATCACGTCTTTTCGATTAACTTACCACTGATAAATTTTGAAATAGAAACAAGGTCAGATTCAAATTGCACAAATGAAGGACAATGCTGGAGAAAATCAAGACTACGACAAGGGTACAAGAGTGAAGTTTACCTGCTGGTAAGGGTTTTAGATACGTGAAAAGAATTTAACAAACCTAACTCTTGACTTGCCTGAAAGTTCGGTTCCAGACCTTTAGTTGCTTCACTACGGATCTAACTTGGGGAAATTATTCCATTCAAGGCTTCCCCTTACTTTTCAGTCATCCAAAATTAACGGGAAAATATCTACGGGTAAGGAGACTATACAAATAAGCAGTCTACCACATGCTACTCGAGGAAATATAATCGCCTTCGATCAGCTCTTCTGCATTAATAAAAGTGCATATAAGTATTTCAAGACAGGACAATGTGTCAATTCACAAAACGACAATCTCAGAGCCTTCTTCACATCAAAATAATAAAAAAAAATGGAGGCTGAAAGAAAACATTCACAGAGAAAACATAAATACAATTCCGAGCTCACATCAGAAACAGTTTCGAAAAGAACAATACCGCAACACATGCCACAGTCCAATGATATTGATGCAATTAGACTTCTGACAGATATCCAGACGCTCGAAGGTCACAGCTATAAACAAGTTTCGCAATGAACACATTCAAAGTGTAGCACACCTAGTCCGTGACACTAGGCTGAACCCTGACGATCAAAAGTCTTCTATAAGGAGCTTGCTGAGCGGGCCAACCCCAGGTACAAGGATGACTAGAATAAAACAAGCAACTTCTATCATGCTCACAGCTCAAAAAGACCAAATTCCTAACCCACATTAAATCCTCTTTATCTTGGAAAAAGTTCCAGTCTCTGAAAAATAGGTGCTTGCAGTCCCGCTCCCGAGCAAACCCGCCTGTGCTTGAGGATTACTCAGCTCAATGCCCTGTGTCCACGATGAATCCAAGAAAAACATATTACTGAAAATGTTTTGTAAAGAGATTGTATCCTGTGTTTTACTTCGAAAACAAGATCTCCTAGTTACAAAATTTTATAACGTGGATGCACCTCATTTTTATAACGTGGATGCACCTCAAAATTTTACTAACGTGGATGCACCCGCATTAGTTTATATTTTATTCAAAGGTAACTTCCAAAGGAGACCAGAAAGAACTACCGATCAGTGTACAGTAATGAATCATGGAAATGGAAATAAACCTGGACAGGCGTGAATGCAAGACTAGAAGAAAGACCCGATGTGGCACCACTACTGCCGTATTGTTTCTCCTTAAATCTGCAAAATAAAATAACCCCTTGTAAATTAGCGCCAAACAAAAAAATTAACAAGGCACAAACCATCGATGTTATGTGGAGAAATAATAATCCATGGTTGGCACTAACTGCTATGAAGAAAAATGTACACTGCAAACTTACTTCTTCGCAACCTTCGCAGCAAGCTTACTTTGACCGATCGACACTCGCAACTTGCCACTGCCAGCCTGCCCAAGCATTCCATAACCCTCTCCTAATCCATCCCCTGCATACAAGCTCGTCCAATCAGTGGCATCAGCCACCCAATACATTTGGCAAACGCATGTAAGCAATACAAATCCAGGTTAACCACCTAGGAGAAAAGAGTTGAGAGAATACAGAGTAAAGTAAATTACCAAGTGAACTCTCTTCGGGTACACCAAATTTCATCCGATTTGCAAGTTTGCGCATGTCAGTCAAGGCATATCTGCAATGAGGACAACAGTAGACTCGAATCAGCTCCATATCTGGAATGACTGCTTCCGAACAGTATCACCCGCTTGCGAAACAAATAAATCAACTATCCAAACAGAAAATAGAAGCAAGGTTGTTGAATGCTATCAATAGAAGGCTTGTGATCGACTCATTTTCAAGTGAAGGCATTCATAGGAAAATTCAGGGGTAGGACGACGAACCTCTCCTTCATCTTTCTAAGACGACGGCCACCTCTCTTTTTCTTAGGATCGCTGTCTGGGACCGGGAGAGGTTTGGGCTGTTTGGGAGGGGGTGGTTCTTGCCATTTTTCAATCTTCTTTCGGATATCTTCACGCAACTCCTGCCCGATTTTAGCAGAGAGGTCACCTCTTGTAAAATCAACTCGAGCAGCCAAGGTTGACTTACCAGCAACTAGACGACACGCTTTCATTCGAAGAGGTGGAGGAGTACTTTGCACAATCTCCGTGTGAAACACGAAACCTGTGTGTGGAAGTGCAGTTGCAGTTGAGAATCCAGCCAAATTTTTTTTCTTTGCACCCAGGATCTGTACATTGCAAGCTGGCATTTTTGAAAGAGCAGCAAGGCCACCTGCCACACCCATCAGCTTCGCAGCAACTGTACTACCAACAACAGCCGATAGATTTGGTGCAATGTAACCCATTCTACTTTCCACAAACTCTAAAACTTTCTTCTTGGCTTCATCGAGAGCAAGTGCCCGGTCACAAGCTTCAATGGTTTTCTGTAGGTTCTCCTCAGAGAGAGGCTTTCCACTAGTGGTAGAAGCAGTAACAGATACGACCATAATAGTAGCAGAAGGCAGAAGTCCTTCTAAGTCGACCAAAGTGAGATCCATCTCGTTGCCAATTTGCTTCACAAGTCGTGAATAATCGATAGGATGCAACACTAACGATTCCAGCTCCGGAAACTTGGCCCGGTACTTGTCTCGAATGAAATTGTGGATAATTGTGATCTCATTATCGATATCAACAGAAAGGGCGTTACATTCAACAATAAGCTGGTACTCTGGATCATCCTCCGCAACCAAACCTTTGGACGAACTTTCTGTGCCATTTGCCATTGCTTCATCCACCTTCTGCACTGACCAACCAGTGATAATTAGCAAGTCATAAGAGAGCTAGAAAATGTGTTCCTATAAATACCAGAAGGCATAAGTTCCCACACAAACAAAACAAAGCGAGGAATCAACAGTAACATGTGCTGGGAATGAGTCAGCAAATAAACATACGAAAATTAAAAAAATAATAATGTGAAGTGCAGAAACTGTAGCGTTGATGAAATCGGCACAAAAACAAGCTAGTTTTTGTGGGATTCAAACAGAAAACTAAGTGGCTTAAATGAGGGCGTGCAAAAGCTTGGTTAAAAGATGTCTAAATACTCTGCCCTGTCACAAAGAACCAAATCAAGCGGGATGAAAGCCTGCTCGACCATTACCTTCATAATATCATGAAACCGTTGACTCTTTTGCAATTTGGCGACACTATCCAAATCATCGAACTTGAGGATGGGAACCTCGGCCATTTCTTCATCTGCATCGGCAGCCTCTTCTGCGGCTTCGGCAACCTCCTGCTAACCCCAAAGGCCTGAATTAGCACAGGTCAAATATTGTCAATCCATTTTAAGACTCAGATTTCCAAACTTCTAATTACCCAACTCGCAACTTTTATAAAAGTTGCACGATCAGCGCTGACACATACAAGTGATGCCGTTCAAAGTACCGTTCAAATAGACGAAAGAGGAACATGCCGATAAATGTTAACCAAATGCTAAAATACTAAACCAAAGAAAAGGAAAGAAATAAAGCCAAACCAAAGACTCTTCGTGACAACGACGGCAGCAAATATTGTAGCTGATTAGTTCACGCTTGCAGTATTGATTAATGTCCGTGAGCGAGGAAGAAGCTTCACATGCCAAACTAAAAATTCCAATTCAAAACCAATGAATTAGAAAAAAACCATTAGATCACAGCCAAGCGAAATAATCTGGGTGAGTACCTCATCCAGAATTTCCTCATCAGACAAATCCTCCAAGTCTGCCAAAAAGGAGTCCGCTAACGTTGCCTGTACACAGAATACTTAAAAACGTAAACATTCCTTCGAACATGAAAGTACGTGCACAACAATAAATCCCTAACCCTCCACAAAACCGAGCTCACTGAGAAATCTGTAAAAATGTTTCAAAAGGCAATCACAAACCAATACCAAAAAATAAATAAAACAAACCCTAATATACAGAAAAGCTTCCACTGCGCATGATTAAAACCATAGCTTCTCAGTATATCGATCAAAACCCTAAAACACCAGAAATTCAGCTACCACGCGACTCTACAGGACAAAAACGAATAACCATTCGACCGCAAGGAAAAATGAATAACCAAAATAAGAACGTACCATGATCGCAGACTTCGATGGAGGGTCAAGAACAGTCACGAAGGAGACCTGTGAGCAAGTCGAAGAATTAAGGCACAGAAACAGAACCCCAGTAACACGTGGTCCAAATGAAATCAAGCGCTGCTGGTCGGAGCTAACAGGCAACGAGGCAAGAGCGAGGGATGTTGCAAGCATCAATTTCCTGTGCGCACTCTTGTGTCTCAAGTAATTGCAATCCTTCGTAGTTGAAAGCTTTTCTTGGTGGTGTGGATGAATGCCGGAATGTCCATGAAGACCCCGGATGGAAGCCGTTGCATCCGTAATAGTTGCCTTCGAAATGTCTGAGGTGGCCGCGAGCATGCTCTGTATACGACACTCACATCATCGTCGTCCTCTTGTGACATAACCGGTAGATGGATGCACTAACCAGCGGTCGGAAAACTACCCTTAGATTTCTTTTACCCTCTTCAAATCCATGCCCGAAATCTCCTCTCCAGAGCTTTGGACGGTCTTCCAGCAGCTTCTGTGCGTGTTAGGTTCTGCCTTGTTGTGTAACCTCCACTGATAAAATCTTGTTTACAACATCTGTCGAAGATCGATAGGAGTTATTTTGACCTGAAATGAGAATTCAATGCAGGTTTGAGGGTTTTGAGAGGTTTTTACTGGCGTGAAGAGGTGTACACCAGTGTAGACATTGTGAAGTAATTGCTGATTAGGGTTTGGAAGTTATGGCCGGGCTTGGACCTGATTGGAAAGGTTTATTAAAATGGAGTATCGCTAACAGCGATGGTACTGCAGATCCTCGAGAATTGAGGTAGACTCATTCCATGTTTTATGTGCTTTGACAATCGATTTTCGTTGGTTTCGAAGTATTCATGACAATTTTTCATGCTTGATGAGAAGTAGGGAGCTCTTGTGAGCAATAGGAATTTAGAAGTCTCAGGGCTTTGAGTTATTCGTAGAGCTCAGATTTTGTGAGTCAGTGTTTCGCGGTTACACTGCACATTACAAGAGATATTTTTCCAAACAAGGTTGGTCGAAGTAAATGGTCTGCTTCGAAAAATCTAAGGTGTAATGTAGTTGTTTGATCTGGGCAGCCTTTGACGAGTTTCTCACTTCCTTTTCGCTCGTGATCACAGTGAGCAGGATAGGCAGTTTTTTGCGGAAGCCATGCAATCGCAGACTGTGGATGTGATTAAGCGAATGAAAGAGATTTCTATGGTGATGAATTTGACTGTTGAGGACTTGGAGACCCAGGGTATCACTGTAGAAGAACTTGAAGGTATGATTAAGTTCATCAAATCGACTTCGAAGCATCATCAGGGGGCGATGAGCTGCTTATTGAAACAAGTTTGTAATTAAAAGAATTCAACCGGAGTCTAGGTTTAAAATTTTGGATTCTTCGTAAATGTTCCTGGAATGAAAGGATATGCTAAATTGTATCATAGAATTAACTTCAAGGTTTCGCCTGCACTTATGCGGAGTTTACAATTTCTTTTGGTCAGATTGTGTTACATTCAAAAATCGAGTGTCAACGGGATCGGAGTTGTGAAGTTAGTGTAGAGACTAAGACCTAGCTGTCATCGAAACTGGCCAATTTGCCTACAACTCAACGTTGAAAAACCCTTTGAAGTCCATGTCCCAGCTGTTCGAGCTGATCTGTTTTGTTCAATTTTTAATTGTGAAACCAGGTATGTTGGAGGAGCTTCAAGAACACGTTGAGTCCATTGACATGGCAAATGGTATGATTTAATCACTTGCAATTTACACACTTGCAGTGTGTCCGTGTTTGTTCCGCAATTTCTTGAAGGTCTTCATCGTGAACCATCCTCTGCTGTAACCTGGTTCATTGTAAACCATCCAGCTTTGCAACTTTTACTTAAATTTTTGGCGCCTCTATTCTTGTAATTCTTTTAATTATTTTGGGCGGTCGGGTTGGGGTCCATGTAGCGAACAAGGCTCTTCTCTAACATGAGCATACGTCTGTGTTGTAGACTTGCATTCAATCGGAGGCTTGGTACCCTTGTTGGATTATTTGAAAAACCCAAATGCTGACATCAGGTCTCGAGCAGCAGAAGTTGTGAGCACCATTGTGCAGAATAATCCAAAAAGTCAGCAGCAAGTGATTGAGTGTAATGGTTTGGAAAGATTGTTGGTGAATTTCAATTTTGATGATAACATAAAAGTGCGAACTAAGGCCTTGGGTGCCATATCATGTACGTTACTCAATTTATGTGTATTGTATTTTATTATGATTGTTTATGATACTTAAATCTGCCATATCATGTTGAATTTCTGGACTTTGAAGGACTTGATTTGGTGGAGAAATCTTATGTTGAGGGCATTGTTGTAACAGAACTTAATTTATTCATCCATTTATTTTGTTTTTGGCAGCTCTAATCAGGCATAATAAAGTAGCAACTGATGCCTTCAGACTTTCTAATGGTTATGCGGGACTTCGACAGGCTCTTGCCTCGGAAGATCTCAGATTCCAGCGGTGTGTGGTTTCTGCCTTTTAAATGCCTGCGCTATATGGTTCACATAATGCTCGTTACAGAACAGTAGTGGCCGGACGTCTTTGAAATCGATTTGACAAATAATGGTGATATGGCTTCTTTTCTTCTTCTTTTTTTTAATTCTGTCTTTCTCTTCACTAGTTTCGGAAAGTCGAGCTTCTGCTTCTACTTCTTAATTTTTCAATTTTGCGAAGTTTTTTGATACTCACTAGCTCACAGCTTTTGCTGTTAAGAGTTCCTATGTTTGATAGTTTAGTCCTACCGTGCTTCGAGGAGGTCGTAGTCATCATGCTCACGGAGTACTTTGTTTTTGGACATGCAGGAAAGCTTTGCAGGTAATACAATATTTGCTTCAAGAGAATCCAAAAGACTGTATTGTAGCAACCCAACTAGGATTCCTAAAGTCCTTGACAAGCTTGGCAAATAGCTCGGATCTTGACGTACGGCAAGCAGCACTGCAATCTTTAGTAGAGATTGTCCGTAACCAAGAAAATCAGAATGTGGGAAAAACGGATGGCACTACCCAACTCAAGGATGTTGTTGGTAAGCGGGTAGAGGAGATTAAAGGCCTGAACCAGGAAGATCTAGCAGCTGTAAAAGAAGAGCGACAGTTGGTGGATACACTCTGGCAGTTGCTCTACAAAGAACCCTCCCAGTTAAGGCAAGAGGGTTTGTTGGTGTTGCCTGAAGATAATCAGCCACCTCCAGACGTTGCAGGTCGGAAACATGCATCTGGGTTGAGAAGTTTGGCTGCCAACGTCCCCCCGGAGCCTCCAAGTAGGCAGAATGTATCTCAAGACGAGAAGAAGCCAGTCTTACTACTGGGTGCTTAGAGATAAGAGTCTACTTTGTCAAATTCAAGTCCTCCTCTCATTCTGTATTACAGTAGGATGTAAAGAAATGTTTTTGTTTTATTTGATTAACGGTGTCACTGAAATGCCTCACTGATTCCCCACATTCATGCCTCAGCCACTAGTGGGGATTAAGGATAATATAAGGGGAAATTACATCGTGGGGTCCACGCACAGAAATAATTACAATTAGGGGTACAAATTGATTATAATTACAATTAGAGGGGACCTACAGAAATAATTACCAGAAAGGGGCACAAATCAAAATGAGGTGCATCCACAAAAATAACAAAGAGAGGTGCATCTACAAAAATAATTACAAAGAAGGGCACAAATCAAAAAAAAATCACAAAGAGATCCACTTCACTTCTTCTTTGAACATAGTTCCTTTCTTCAATTTACCTCACTTCTAATTGGGAGGTTTTATTCTCCTCTTCAATTTGCCATGCTTCTCTTTGTGTGGTACAATTTTCTTCCTTTATTTGTATGGCTTCTCTTTTTACAATCAAGTTTGTTTTGTTTTTCTTTGTGTGGTCTTGCAAATTAAAAGTCACCAGCCAAAGATCGATCAATGACAACTAGAGACAAATTGGTTGTTGGAAGAATGTCCTACACATTCAAAGATGCATGTAGTGCTATTACAAGTTATTCAATCTTTGCCTTTATTCCTTACCAATTTAAAGCCAATAAACTTGTCTACATGAAAGTTGTTTGGCTAAAGGAGAAAGCGGAATCACAAGACAAGATTGCAAAAGGTAGGTTTTTATTGCACATTGTGAATAATTGGTGCCTAGATGGATTACTTTACATTACTAAGTTTGTTGCTCATATGCAAACATGTCCAACTTATTTGAAAACCTTTTGCCTCAAAGGCAATGAGGTTGCAAACTTTGCTACATCTCTTATGTGGGACATACAAGGCCTGTGACCACATAATATTATAAATTATGGACAAATCAAACTTGGAGCAAAAGCAACATATATGGCTTCATGGAGGAGCCATAACTTGCACCAAAAGTGTTTAGTAGAACGCTACAATTTGAGATTTCAAAAGCTTGCGCCATTACTTGAAAGACTAGCCATAACAAATCTTAGTAGTACAAGTACATTTGATAAGGACAATTGGTAGCAATTCATTAGAGTGTTCTTTTGTCTTTAAGCTTAGAAGATAGCAACTATAAATTGTTGCCCCATGTTTACAACACATACAACCTATTCAAAGTTTAGATACTAAGGTATATTCTTTGTCTTTATTAAAGTAGATGGAAAAGATCATGTTGTGCTTGTTGGTTTTGATATTATTTCAATTGATAATAATAAAAATTGAACATGGTTTTTTCACTAGCTAGTGCATTCAATGCCCTTCCCAAATTTTGCAAGCATCATAGTTATCAACAATTGTAAGAAGATGTAAATTTTTGGCTTTCACTTTTAAATTTGAGATTGCATTTAGTTTTGTATTGTGTGTAGCAATATGTCTAAAGAATCAAAAATATAGTTACTATAGAGTTTTCATTTGGAAACCATTGTACATGCATTTGGCACATTAAAAAGAATGTGAACTATAGCTACAAAATAAAATTGAATAGAAAGATTTTGGCAGCCATGAAGGTATTGATCATGGACATCCATATAATAACAATGGCAAACATGTGAAACATACATACCATTGCATTTGAATACCTTATTGCTATTCCATATTAAAACTAGAATTTGCCACAGTTGACTACAATTCTTGTACCTACAATCAACAATACCAAGTATTGTAGAGTAGTTTGGAGTGAACTAGATCATATTACTTGGTGACCTTTGATGTTCACAAGTTATACATGCAATGACGAAGAAAAGTAGCAATGACAATGAGAAGCAAGGCAAAGACACAAGCCAATAACTATGTATTTTACTAAAACATAGCAAAAGAACAAGTCTCTAAGCTAAGCAACCAAATAGTGTGCAAACTCCTTTTGGAATATAATAATTGTGCAATGGTAGAGCGGCCAATGTAATAATAGCTTAAAAGTGATTGGCATTGAAATTTGATATGATACATTAGCAATATACACATCATAATATGGCAACTATATTTTCAATATATCATCTTAAATCACATGCTTATACACAAATAAGGTAAAGTGAGGTGAATTGAAATGCAAAGAGACCTTTTTTGAGAAGGAAAATTGTATTTAAGGAAGAAGAGTAAGAGACCCTTTTGAGATTTCTTGTTTTGATTTATGCTCTTATTAGTAATTATTTATATAGGTGCACATTTCTTTGTAATTAATTTTAATTTGTGCCTCTACTCATAATTATTTCTATAGGTGTGCCCCTTAATGTAAATTTTCTATAATATAAATGACTGCAAACATTTATGAAATACTAATAATGTCTAGCATCACCTATTAGTTGATGATGAGTAAATGTGGTTATATCCCTATTGCATAAATTTAAGGATTTTATTCCCTCAAAACACAAGTATGTCATAAACAAAACAAATAGTAATTTACAACTAAAATCCTCAACTGTTGTAGGTGTAAATTGTGTAGAGATGTTCCACTTTTAGCATCCATACTTTAAAAATATTCTGAAATGTCATTGTTTTAGCATTCAGTAGTGTGCACTAATTGTTGGGTTTAAAGGCAAAAGATAAGTTAAAATCTGGAACATTTTATTTTTGTTAATAATTCAGAGATTTCGATTGATTTAAGATAAGTTTTTAGATAAATTTACATAAGCCCTTACAAATCCAACTTGTGCAAAGGTTAAATAGACAAAAAGAAACCAAAAATTTGAGCTGATAATCTCTAACTTCCATTTGTCTATCTATTAAATTCTCCTAATCAAAGAAGGATTTTACTGAGGAATGGCTACTTTCAGAAAAAAAATGCTGAAGTATTTTTCTCCTTCGATTTCACTCAAATTTCGCTTTACATTCTCAGACACGACTCAAATTTGCAAAATTATTTAGAATGTCCTATAGGTACTAAGAAGATTGAGCAGAACACTGTTGTTCCAATATTTGAATCAAAGCTTTGATGGCTACATGATCCAAGTTTCCTAGAATGCAATCACATTCGCTTGGAAAACTTCCAGCAAAAAATGGAAAAATCTTTCACTGAGTGACAGTACCGTCAAGCAAATGAAGCAGATTCTGAAGTTCAAGGAGCCAGTGCGAGTACTTTAATTGTGCCTTGCGAGTTAGCCGCTAACATAGTCGGACTCTGACTCTTCCAACAAACTGCACTGATGAAGTGTGAACTATCATCTCCGTTATCTTCAGAGTTGTGGGACCCAAATCTGTGCCACGAAGCTGGCCTCGACATAGCCTGCCAAAGAAAACAAAATTTGTCTTAGAATCATGAAACCAAAACATTTGCAAGTCTGATAATGCCGCAAAAAGATAATTTTCACTGAGTGGCAAAAAGAATCTAAGCACTCAAAGGAGACTGGTAAATTGGAGAAATGTTGCAAAAACAAAATCTGCACCACAGTTGTACAATCAGTGAATCTGGAAAAAGTGTATGTAGAGTCTGGGTCTAACCTTATGATACACGAAAACCTCATTTGATTCACTCCCGCAGGCAATATACTCATTGTTTACAGTCAATCCTACAAAATTCTTCTCATTTGTGTGTCCTCTGAGCGTTCGTATCTGCAGTATGATCAACTTCAAAAACTTAGGACACCTTAACTCACTAATGCATTGGGTATACCCCAAATGAGTCAAAAATAAATAAGTAAATAGATAAAAGATTAAAAGAACTTCGGGCACAAATCTTCATCTTGACTTTTTCTCATCACGCACCATGCAGTCACATGCATGTGGCTAGTAAATCGGAATCATCATGGTTAAGAGAATGAGTTCAAGAAGAGTTAATTGACGTACCGAGCAGTCTCGCTGAACATCCCAAAGTCGAAGTGTGCTATCTGTAGATGCCGAAGCTAACTCAGTCGGTGATATAAACTTCACGTAAGAAACAGCCTTCCGGTGCCCCTTGAATACATAGAGTGGTGTGCTTGCGTTCCGCAAATCAAAGTAATGTATACAGTGGTCAGCAGAACCCACCTATCAAGGGTTTAATACATAGTTAGAATAGTCTCACAAAGGCTTTAAATAGTTAAAATAATAAAAATATAAGAGACTGCAGAGCACAGGCTATAATTTGTGACAATATTAATAGGAGATGCTGGAGCCTTACTGCAATATGGTTGCTGGAACCAGGATTGTACTTAACGCAACAGATGTTAGCCCTCATATCCAGGCTGAGCGCACTAGACTCCTGCCTTGTGCACCACACCTTCACCTGCAAAAATTTGAACATGCTTATGTCAATCTTCCAGCACAGCTCACTACCCCAAGAGATTTCTTAGTTATCTAATGCATCGAACCCTTCTGATTCAACATGGCAAACTTTTCAATTGCGGCTGCACCTTTCCATCATCGCTTCCAGAAACCAGCATTGATGGCTCTGTACGAGAAAAGTCTACGCTCCAAGCTCGCTTCTCATGTTCCTCATACTCCATCACAGCCTGCATGACCAAAAACACTTAAGCAGGGAAATGATATGAATGCCAACAAAACCCCCCTTTCTGTGCTACTTTTTTCTCTGATATCACTCGACCGCTTCCGAAACCCTTCTAATAAAATATCAAAAGACAAAGTGCACGTTCGATTGCAATCCAAGTTGAAGTAGAAGAAAAACAGGCTGCACCGCAATATACTCTACTAATGTACACATGTCAAATATCAGTTCTTCTAATACCTGTCTTGTATTAACATCCCATACTGTAACGGTGCCTTCGTAATCGCTACTAGCAATAAGTGGTTTCGCACACTTGTTCCAGCTCAAGCAACTCAATTTAGACCGTGTTGCTATCTCCACCAATGGACAGTGAACATCCGCTAATTCATTTACAACCTGTTCAATCCAAATCATTCAGTGATAGCTCCCACATTAGACAATAGGTACTGAAAGTAGCTAGCAGACAAGTTCTGTACCGTAAATAAAGATTTTAAAATAGTGCAAAAATGAAACCACCATGGTAAAGAGAACATACAGTCTCGAAATTGAAAACTTTTACGCGCCGAGAAACACCCGCTGTCGCAAAGAATTCATCGTCACGATCAAATTCGATACTGGAGATGAAGCGACAACTTAGAATCTTAGTTGGAGCATGATGCATCCCCATACACCCACTAAAAAAGATTTGTGCAGAGAAGTCCGTGGTACTTATCATTTCCACACCAATCAAACACATGAACAGAAAAAGATGAACTGTCTAATACTTTAACCCTTCTACCCGGGTAAGCTGACAAGATCTGCTGAAGAATATTCCAAAGTACTATTCCCAGCCATCGGAGAGCTAGCATTCACGACACCAAAAGGGAGAGAAGCATGACTATAAGATATCTTACCTGGAAACAATATTTGAACTATGAAATAGATCTCCATGGTGAAGCTCAGCTACAACACGGAGACGACTGTTTATGAACAGAGCCATGTCAAGACATTAAATTAGGGCAAAGTATGAGCTTCATGTTTGTGAGACTTGCACAATTAACGATACCGGAAATACACTTGCAAACACACGTACCCATAATGATACTAAAAATTAGAGTACTCTTTTGGAATTTTTCCTCACCTATAACGTGTAAATGCCGTTAGTACAGACTCAAAGTCTTCCAACCCGTCCTGGTAGCTCTCTGACCCTTTAGTTGCCGTATTCCTAACAGCCTCCTGTATTTGTCTTTGATTTTGTTTTCTAGCAACCTGCCTTCTCCGCAGCAAATAGGCTTCTTGTAAGTCTTCGAACTGCAGGAATAAAACATGTAAGTAAAAGAATGGAAACATCAGGCTACGAGCAACTAACTACTGAACATTTAAATGAGGAATTATAATTTTTTTGAAAAGAAGAAAAAAATAAATTATAAGCTTGTAAACGGTAGGACATACCTGTGCCAACACTCGGCGTTTCTTACTTACTGCATGAACCCCCATCGATCCAGCGTGTGATTCTATGTAAGGATTCTCAGGTAATCTCTTTTGTATCCCCTCAGCTTTCTTAGACATAAGAAACGCTGAATTTCTGTCAGCATTTCCTGCCATGGATTTAACCTCATTAGGTGGAGAAAACGCACCACCTTGGCCACCTCGCCAAACAGAAATTGCTCCTCCATGACTTGGTTTTTTGCATCCCGAGTACAAATCCAACCTAGGCAATGATGAATCCGCAGATAAGCATGCTCGCTCAGCGGGCTTGTCTTTCAGCCTTAAGAACTGCCGCCGCCTTTCGACTGTGGCTATGTCTTCTTTGAGGAAGCTGAGATCATTTTGCAACTGTTCGAAAGAGACCACCCGATTATTTCAGTCTCAGTTCAAAGAAATGCATTTCTCTTAGGAAAACTTAATGAATTTCTCCAATGTCCTGGATTTCACACTTCAAAAAACAAATAATTTCTTGCAATAATGAATCCCAGTGTTTATAAACACGAAGACGTCCAATTTTTCTGTTGTTTGATCAAAATATTCACCTACGACAATTAAGCCTATTACATTCATCACCTAATAGCCCCAATTTTCCTACAATGAACAAGTTGACGCTAGTATCAGGTGCCTGAACCGGAGTTTTCACCTCTTGCATTTCCTCCTGTTTCCGTTGTCGTGATAGGTACAGAAAATCAAGAAGAACTTCCATGTTGGACTCGGCCTCTACTTGTTCAAGTCTACGTTTCCTTTCACCTAAAAGACATAGTAAGGAACCCAAATCCTTCAGAGGCAAATCCGCTCCCTGCAAGCGCATCATTAAAATTAGGAAGTTAAAGCACCTAGTAGGGCACATGTAGGATCACAGACGATGAGGTTTATCCCATCAGCTAAGCACAGCTACTACAGTTGACAAAAGGCACATCGAAAGAGTGAAAACTACCTGCTCAAGTGCAAGGCGCAATTGCTCTGCGGGAGAGGAGATGCCGAGTAGCTGTGAGGCTACCGTTTTCTTCAACAACTGAAGGTACCATGCAAAATGCCCATTAGGAACTCATTAACCCATCCTTGATTCCTGTGCAACGCTTGACTAGAATAATGTATAGCAAGATGCAGAGACGGACATTGCAATCTATGCCGTTTTCAAAAATGGCTTAATTGCTTAGGCCGCTCAAATGAAACCTGGGTTTCTACCTCGTTCTCAAATGCCATGACTACAGAAAACTCATATGAATGAAGGTTGAGATCATTTAACCAAGCATGCAACGCCACAATCAGAATAATTTATACGAAAGGTTCCATTGGATTTACGATAGGATTTTTTTTTAATCCATCCAACATGAATGATAATACTCACGAACACTCGCATCTAGGGTGTGAGATGCCGAGACTCTCGGCAACAGTAAGCAGACCTTGAGCTGGTAAGGATTGCAATATATGTCTGGTTTAAGCAAAATCTTTTGAAAATCGCCGAAGTGCAGAGACTCACTTTCGACAAGAGAAAGTTGGGGATGAGATGCTCTGATGTAAGATACCGAGCGCAGCTGGGGCAGTTGCTTCTGTTATTTAGATGCGTTGTGATGCACGTGTAACAGAACGAGTGTCCGCAGTTGGTTACAAACGCATCCTCCATTGTCTGAAAACAAATCGGACACAAAAAGTCTTTGTCCACGCCAGCTGATGCCCTTGCAACATCGACTGACTCACTGGTAATGACATCTGAAACCCAAAGCCCCGTCTGAGCCTCTTCCTTAATAAAACCCCGTGCGGAAGGAACACTGACCCCAATCGACGATGCCATGGCCTCGTTTTTGTTGCAAACTACTCTGCCGCGATGCATGCCAAATCGTACAAAACTTCTTAAACCAATCAAATCCTTCGAAACCAAACCCCTGTCTCATTAAAGAAACGACCACAGCAGACGCTGCGATTTTCAAACGGCGTCCCTGTGAAAAGGGCGTCCCTGTGAAAAGGGCGACCCAATCTCGAACAACTCTCACGACCTTCAAAGTCCTGGTCTCCCTAAAACCTCCGGGAAGACTGACTTACAGCGTTTTAAGTAAAATACCTCAAGAGCAAATCATGAACCTGGTACCCAATCTAACAAAACCTCTAAACACCCGTTTATTTCTCCTCAATACACAAGAGGAGTGCAGCGTATCCTGAATGTCCATTGATTCCGTTTAATCTGAAGGCATCCAATCTTACTCCGTTGAACTGATGCAAAACGCGCTGTACCAGATCCAAACCGCTCCGAAAGCTGGTCCCAAAAGCTTACAACGTGACGCTTCTACCAAATAAAAAATATGTGAACACCACAAACTAACAACGTAAACCCTGTTTGTCTTTCTTCCAACACTTCTCGGGTCTAAACACAAGTGCGCCGTGCTGTTGTCGACGTATCTCAGTCTTCCCAACCTGTTCCACCGCCGCGAGGACTACACTGAGGCACAGCTAAACTACGTGAAGATCAGCTCAAATCCACACAAACTCAAACCCATCAGAGTTGAACCGCCTCGGGCCTCAATGGAGAAGATGACGCCTTGTCACATGGTCATCTTGACGTAACCTTAGGCCCGGACTCGTTCGCGTTACCCAAAGTTCCACCAGTACAGCTCACCATCACCGCAATAAGACATAACCAGGTTTCGATGCAGTGATTCAGAAATCAAACCCTAGAGGATCCTCCTCACATAGACCACATCCTCACATCCAGAACCCCCTCCTACCGGGACCCACCAGATGCCTTCCAAGAATTTTTTTCAGCGATTGATGACAGCCAATCACTCCTTCCTCTGTTGTCACCAAATCTTTACCAGCGACCTCAAGTTGGCCATCACTGCGGCAACCTCAACTTGTGGATGCTATGTTGCCAAGTCATCCGCACACCCATGCTTGCCTGGGCCCCCACCATCCACATCACTCACTTGAAGTGACGCAACCGACAACCCATACTTCCAGTGATACACTGAACCGCACTTCCATGACTCGTTCGCTGACGTGGTTAAGATCAGCGCATGAACCCCGACTTAACCCAAGTTCGATTTCACCGTCAAACTAGTTACCGGTATCCAAAAGTTGGAAAAAAAACATGATCCAGCCTTGGTTTCATATCTCAGGTAAGTCTACGCGACGCTGTAAAGCGGAAAGGAGAGGCTGTCGACTAGACGAATCGGCATTGAATTCCAAGTCGCCAATAACAAAAGCATGCAAGTCGAAAAAATTGCGAAAAATACTGCATTAATCGATCGGGTCGATTGAATCCCGTCGCTGGTGACCGGATTCCGTTGCGCGCACCGTGTGACTAGTCCAGTTGAGGGGAAGCTTCATGCAGTTTCGCGAGGACGCCGGGCCCAGAAAAAGCTACAGCGAGCTATACGATCCAAAATAGAGGGATTGGTGATTCGGGCTGCAAACTGGAATATCGAGCGCCAAGAGATTGTGAGCCACAATTCCTCGACGACGACGTCGATCCCAACCCAGGGCACGTCGATGTGAGCCACAAGCTCGCGGGGCCCGCCGCGGACCTACGGTGATGGTGGCCGCGAATTCTCCCTCTTGGGCTTTGTGGCTGCCTCTCTGACAGCACATAAACGAATTCTGACGGGGAACTGTCGCCCGGATTCCATACCCTAATCAGCGCGTGAGTGCTGATGTCTTAGTATCTGTTTATAAGACAGCGGATGGGATACGTCTGTTTCTGTTTTAGGTCACTTTATTAATATTATTATTAGGAGCCTGGCTGAGAAGGAGGAGGAGTAGGTGTATTTTACCTTATTCTGTGTTTAGATAGAATCTATTGTGATGTGCTTGGTTTGCAAGTGCATTCGAAAGCAATGAAAATTATGTGGCTGCATAAATTTGTGAAAATTTTTAAAAAAAATCGTGGACATGTCCCATGCATGAGAATTTGGAAATTTTCTAACCAAAATCTTTGTGTTATTAAGAATGTCTTGTATTCTTAAAGAACAAGTCCCGTGCACAAATGCTTTTATATCATTACTTTTTAGAATATGTAGACTTTATGTATTTTTTACAACTTTCTTTACAAAAGCATTACAACTATATTTTAATTAACAAAATATGCATGAAATGACCAAAAATATAAGTTAGGTGCCAATAAACTTGGGTCATTGGATTGCTTTAAATATAAAATTTAAGTGTTTAAATACCATGACTTAAATAAAATATATAAATTATAAGTTATATAAGTAATATAAATAAATTCTAAAAAAAATTTAAAAATATTTATATGAATAATTTATAATACATTTATTTTTATCCAAAAGCTTAGTATTATTGTACATAGTATTTTTTTAATTTTTTAAAAAATACTAAATTTATATTATTTAAATATCCACATGTATATATATATATATTTATTTATTTATTTATAAAGATGAAAAAACTGAGTTGAAAGTCAATAACATATACTATGCTTTAATAAATACTAATAGAATGTTAACTTTGTTTATGGTTTATTATGAATGACTATAAATTTAATGTTAAAAAAGTATTATTTCAAATTTAAGTATTTCGAATTATTAAATATTTAATAGATGATTTTTAATTTATTAAATTTTATTTTGAAAATTTTCTTTTGCCTTTTATAGTTTATATATTAGAGCTCATAGTTTCAAAATACATTAATCTGTATAATTTTATAAAAAAATAAAATTTATAAGAATTTTAAACAATAAATTATATATATATATATATATATATGTATATTTAGTAATTAAAAAAATAAGAATATGTATTTGTTTCTATGTGATAAATTATCCAAATTACCTGAAACATCTTAGCTATAATGTCAAAGAACTTTGGTTTCAATCTTGTAGCTACCACCACAAGCTTTGGTAAGTTGATACAATACTAATTTGATAATTTGACATAGTATTATTTAAAATAAAATTGTAATACCATTATTAAAGTATAAATGTAAATCACAAATTATCACATTATTTGTGATACTCAAATTTATTAATATTTTGAGCATAATTTTTTAAAAAAAAATGTATTTTAAATAAATAAATTCAATTTTATTTTTATTAGGTTTAATTTAGTTTATTATTTAATTTAAAAATATTATTAGCTATTTTTATATATTTTAACAATTATATAAATATATTAATTATTATGAATTGATATAAACATTTTATCAAACTCATAAAATATTCTATAAAGTATTAATATTTTTAGATTACTCTTTAAAAAATAGTATAATTCTATTTTATAGATTAAATTGATTTCTTTTTATCAATAAAATAATAATAATAATAATAATAATAATAATCATACATTTTAAAGTTAAATATTTATTATTGTCACTTTTTGTTCAAATATTGTATAAATTATGCATTGATTTATATCAGCCTTAAGCTTGAAAGTGGACAAATGCTACTCAGTTGTTGTCTAGAGATGAAATCAAAACAAGTAACGATGAGCTCAAGCTCTTAACTACACACGTTGCTCATGCGTTACTCTACTCCATGTGAACGAGGAGAATCAAGCCAAACTGCCTTATTATCTAGTCCATATTGACATTCTATTCAGAAATGCAAGAGGTAATGCAACGTCCACAAGCTTAATCTCCATCAACAGCAGCACTAATGAATGCTAAGTCTCTTATTCTTAGGTGCACAAGTTCGTATCTAAAGGCCAGAGCACACATCAACGTACCATCAGCTTCAGCAAATTGTGCTCAGATTAATGAGAAAGTTCAGGACCCACCTGAATTGGAGATTGATCCGACTTTGGAATGATATAGAGTTGCATTCAAAAGACACCAGTTTTCTACAAAAGATAAATCTGTATGGACTGCTCAGAAGAATTGTGTTCAAGCCAAGAATAAAATCGAGAATAGTACTGCTCGGCCTCAGAAATCATGCAAGTTATTTGTGACAAAGAAATCGAATTCAATCGCACGTCGGAATTCAGAATCGATCTCAGTTAAGTAAAAGAAAATGAGTTGCAGGGTCCAGAGACTTGCTGGCCTGTACAAAAAGTAGTGTTGTGACTGGAGCCGAGTAAGCTCAATCAACCAGAAAGCCAAAGCCAACGGTCTTGACGTGTGATATGGTAACAAAAAATTAATGGCTGATTCTTCCACTTAATGAGATGTTGCAGCATATCTTTCTTTCAATCTCCACTTCGTCTTCCCATGAACTATATCGGTTCCACTTGACTGCATTCTCAGCAAGTGCGTACAATGTACGAGAACAGTCCTGGTGGAACGCATGGCGGCATTTTTTCGAAGACCTGAGGAGCACGACACAGCGTCTGGAGAGCCACCTAAACCATTGTATAATCATAGATTGTCGTTCTTGAACGACCCAGTCGAGGGATAAGCAAGTGGACATGACAGGGATTGAACTACGTCTGATGGGGAACACTCAGGCCTGCAGTCCAGGGTCATTGTCTCAGGCGAAAGCGCGACGAGCTGAGACTGGGCCACTCTCTGCATGACGGGCAGTCACACAACTAGAAACTAGTAAGAAGAAAGAGGAGCTCACAGTTCATATTTCGTCAAGACTCTAATGTCGATAAATCTGCATGAAGAAGACCTACCTCACGCACCCAGCTGATGTACTTGACATTGTTCACATGCTGGTGCATGTTCATGTGAACAAACGAGGCTATATTCATCAATTCACCAGACACATTATTCCTCAGAATTCAATAGGTAAGGATTAATTTATTTGGGAGATGCGAAATACAAAGAACCCGGTCACAAATTCTTTCGACTCTCTGTTGATTAAGGGACAACACATATTCACACGGGTGGAAAAACTAAGATGCTCACATGGAGGTGTGTTCTGCACTTGCCAAAGAGAGTTTGGATTTTCATAGAAGAGTGTATTGAAACTTAATCAGGTGTGTATGTTTTCCACAACGTCAGATCTGATGAAATGCGCATTACCATTTTTTCTTGATTCTCTGGTAGCCGTTCTTTATTTATTTATTTATTCTTTTCATTTCTTCTCCATAAAGAAGGGAGAAATTTCAGCTAGAACTTCTTAAAGCACCTTAGACAGCCGTCTGGTGTCTTGGTTCATCACCCATGTGCTGCATGATAAGAATAGGTTCTCATCAGTTTGAGGAGAATCTAGAACCAATATCAGGCATCTAAAAGGCGCAACAATGCCAAGAACCCTCGATGTCATTTCCAGCGTCTTTGCCGAGAGATGTCGGATTATTCTGCACAAACACATTTTACCATCAAACTTATCGACTCAGGAAATTAGGGTTCAAAATCTGATGGATTCTAGAATGTTAATCGATTACCCAACACTCTTGGTAGCTCTTACAATAACTTCGCCAGCATTGTAATCTTGAACGATGAAGACTTGCCTCATGCCATTCTCAACTTTTGCTGCCGCCCATGAGTCTAATTCTACCAAATCCCCCATATGAACCCAGGAGAGATAAGTCCCAAAAAGAAAGCAACAAAAAAGAAAGAAAGAAAGAAAAAAAAATAGGCTTGTATATATCATGGGAAAAGCTCACGGCTTGTATATATCATGGGAAAAGTTTACATTTAAAAAATTCTGTCGTTCACTCTCAAAAACCCTCGCGCCTCTATATTTGTAGAAATGAGAAGAAACTCAGAGCTGTTTTGCAGTTTTTCTCCCTCCCTGCGAGAACTGGGTGCAAATCCAGTCATTCCACCGCAGCGCAAAAAAAAAAAAAAAAAAAAAAAAAAAATATACAAAAACAAAAAAACAAACAAAGCAA